CCGCTTTACGGCCCGCCACAGCATCACCCCATTTCGCCGGTCTTCTTTCCCGCCGGTCTTCTTTCCCGCCGGTCTCCCATCCTCTCACACATGCACATGCGCGCATGCACCCGCACATTCAGTGGCCATCGACATCAATCAGTGCCTGCCCTCCATCGCGTACATCGTGTCACAGGCGATGCACCCGATCCCCGTGGCCCCGGCCACCACGCGAGCCCTGCGCAATCAGGTCCTCCCGGTCCTGAGCGCCCTGAATTCCGTCCCCAACTCGGCCATGTCCAGCAGCCCCTTCACTTTGTCCGAGGCGGACCAGCAAATCCGGAACTTCTGGTTCCCCCGGACCGAGCCCTCGGCCTTCCGGCAGTTCCTGAGCGCCGAGCGCCACCGGGACGCTCTGCTGTCCCTGCTGCCGCAGCGGTCCCTGGCTGCGGCGCTGGACTGCGGCCTGCTGGACATCGCCTCGCTCAATGACATCCAGGACATCTTTGCCTCGACCAATGTCGCGCTTGACTCCATCAATGAGCAGCCCGCTCTGGGGATCCACAACCTGGACGAGATCGAGGCCTCCGAGGACCGGGCCGCTGCGGTCGCCGCGGCGGCGGCCGCCGCCGAGCATGTCGCAACTGCCAACGGTTCGGCCTAAGCGAATACACCCACACGGACCGCCGCAGCCCACGCGCATTGTGCTTGCCCCGCGCGCGCAAACAGCAACGGAGGGGGGGGGGGGGGGCAATCTCGATCTTCCCTGGGCCATGGAGGCGGGGGGGGGGGATCATGGCAGCGTGGCCCGCCCCGCGGCCGTCGGCAGAAACAGCACCAACACCAGCGGGATCTTTCGGCCAGACGCCTCCGGCGCCGAGGAGAGCGTCCCTCGGGCACACCTCTCCCCTCCGCCTGTCATTTTTTCCTTCCTCTTCGCCTTATCCTGCACGTGCACCATCATGCCCCAGGAGCCTGTCCCCCCGGCGCCAGATGCCGGCCCCGCTGCCGGTCCTTCTACCACCGCCGCCGGCCCTGCTGCCGAGACGCTGGCCACCCCAGTCCCCAAGACCACGAGCAGTTTGGAGAAGTTCGGCAACCGCACTCTCGGTGCCGTGGAAGAATCCGGACAGGACATTTTCTCCCAGAATGCCTGGGACAATGTCGATTGGACACAGGAGCAGATCGACAATGCCTTGTCCATTGTGGAGCAGCAGAAGCAAGCCCCGGTGGTCCAGGATAAGGCCGGTGCGTGTAGACCTGAGCCTCGCACCACACCGGCCGCCAGGGCGTCCTCATGCAACTGACCCTTCCTACCTTGCCCTGCTTCCGGGCCATCTGCCCCCTCTCCTTCTCTCTCTCTCTCTTTTCCCCCCCCCCCCCCCTGCCTCCTGCCCCCTCTCGCGTGTGCACATTCCCCAGAGGATTACATCACCAATGCCAGTCAGTACTGGGACACCTTTTACAAGCAGCATGAGGACCGGTTCTTCAAGGACCGGCATTGGCTCGCCCTGGAGTTCCCGGAGCTCTTCCCCAAGACCATTGTGCGCACCCCTGTTGACTTCCCACGGATTGCCACCATTCGCACACCTTGCGTTGCCTTACTCATGATGTGTGCCATCGCCATGCCCTAGCCGGCCGAGGGGTTCACCGTGTTCGAGCTCGGCTGCGGAGCCGGCAACACCATCTTCCCGCTGCTGGCCGCGGTGGACGACCCGAAGTTCCGCGTGCTCGGGTGTGACTTCGCCGAGTCGGCTGTGGAAGTTGTGCGGACGACGCCGCAATACGCCCCGGAGGAGGCTGCCGGCCGGGTGCACGCCTTTGTGCACGATCTGACCGATGGCGGCCAGCCGAGCGAGTGCTTCCCCCCGGAGGATGTGCCCCCCGGGTCGGTGGATGTGGTGGTGTGCATCTTCGTCCTGTCCGCCATCCCGATTGCCCAGTTGGATGGGGTCTTCCGAAAGATCTATGCCTGCCTGAAGCCCGGCGGTGTGGTTCTCTTCCGGGACTATGGTCGCCATGATTTGGCGCAGCTCCGGTTCAAGAAGAACCGCTACCTGTCGGACAACTTCTATGTCCGCGGCGATGGGACCTGCGTGTATTTCTTCGAGTCGGCCGAAGTGGACCGCCTGGCCACTGGAGCTGGCTTCACTGTCCTTCAGAATACCATGGATCAACGCCTGCTGGTGAACCGCGCCCGCAAGGTGACCATGTACCGGATGTGGCTTCAGTGCAAGCTGCAGAAGCCCCTGGAGGGGGAGACCACCACCGAGGGGCAGCTGGTGCTGCCGCAGGGGACTGATGCTGCCGGCCCTGCCGGCCTGGAGGAGGACACCGCCGCCACCACCACCCCCGGGGCCAAGCGTGTCTTGGAGAGCGCCGACAACGGGACTGCCCCCGCTGCGAAGGCCCCCCGCACGACCACCCCCCCGCCGCCCTCGGCCGCTGAGCAAGAGTGACAGGGTATATTCTCCCGCACGAAGCCGGCGCCGAATCACGCACACACACACACCCACAATAGCCAGAGCAGCCGTTCAGCCGGCCCCATAAATATGACAACACAACAGACATACGAATCCCCCCGCATGTGGGAGGATGCATCGCGCTGCGATCGCATCCGGACAAGGGTGCGAAAAGAGGGGCCGAGAGAAGAGGACGAAGCAGGGAGGGGGAAGTTTTGAAAAAGCCGCGAGGCGAGAAGCCCCCATGCTCTCCCCCCCCCCCCGCCCGGGGGCGGCGCCGGCGGCCTGCACATGCAGGTGCGCAAAGTCTCCAGGTGCCAATCCATGGATCTGCCGGCCCATGTGCCGCGATCCATTGGTAGCCGCGAGAGCTCACACCGGAAGTCCCACGGGACAGATGCTTACGCGGCCCTGCAACCCCCGCCCCCTGCCGACACGAAACCGAGGTGCCTCGCCAGCCGGTCTCGTCCCGGCCCTAGGAGGGGCGGGCACACGCACCGGGCGCGTGGAAGTTCCCCCGATCCTGGTGGCACAGGCGGGCCTGCACGATCGCTCGGGACCCCGGCCGATTCGGAGAGGCGCCGTGCGAGTGGGCGCGCATGGGCCACTCCCCCAGGCCGGGGGGGGGGGGGGGCGGGGGAACGTGAAGGCAAGCGGACGCCATGGGTTGGATGCATCCCCCCTCCCCCCAGCCTGGGATGAAAACAATAACAATCTCCCCGCCGTGTGGCCGGTCGGCCTGCATGACCAGGTCCTCCTGCTAAGGGCAACGAATGGTGGCCTCCGGCGATGCTGACTCTCTGTGGTTGTCGTCCGCCGCCGCTCCCGGCGCGGCCTTGCGGCTGGGCGAAGCAACATCATACCAACCAAGGGGCAGGCGCAGGCTCCCGAACAGACGACCCATGGCGAAGGCAGGGCAAGACGGGGGGGGCGGGGGGCCACCCGGCCGCCGCCCATGTTGCATGGGCCCGCCCATGCCGCGACCCCCGCCGGCATATGAATGTGTGTCTGTGCGTGTGTGTCTGTGCGTGTGTGTCTGCGCGCGCGCGTGTGTGTGTGTGTACATACGTGTGTACGAGCGCATGCGTACACCACAACACCTGCCGAGATCCTCTCCCACAGTGCGCGGGGCCCGCGATCGGATTGGTCGGGGCCCGCACGCAGGTATGAACTTTCGCGGCACACACATTTCGCCTCTCACCCCTGCCCCCCCCCCCCCCCCACACGTCTGAACTCCCCCCCCCCCCCCCCCCCCCCCCCCCCCCCCCCCCCCCCCCCCCCCCCCCCCCCCCCCCCTCGAGACCAGCCTCTCCCTGCTGGAGATCAAGCTCGACTCGATTGCCGGCGGTGGTGGTGCCGCGGCCGGCACCCCCGCCGCCCCGGCCCCCCCCCCCCGGATGCTCCTCTCCCCCACTATGCCTGCGCGTCTCTTTCTTGTCCGCGAACGCACAGCACACACACACACACACACACACACACACACACGCACACACACACGAGCCCCAGCTTGGGCCACCCACACAGATGGGGGAACTCCTGGCCCCTTCGCCCGCGGAAAAGGAAGCCACTCGGTCGGTGTCTGCCAGTCGCCCTGGACCATGCCACCCGCCTCCTGCCCTCCGCACATCCTAGCTTTGCCCACCGTTTGCTCGGCCTACGCACGCTCGCACGCTCGCACGTACCCCTCGCCCCCCCCCCCCCTGGGAAAGCCGCATGACTCTCGGATCGATCCAGGGCGACGATGGCGGGCCCTCGGCTATCTACCCCGAGGACACCGACAACCAGTCCGTGGAGGTGGATTTTCATGCGGATAACACCAGCCTCCTGGCAGATGATCACCGTTCCTTCGCCGTAGACACTGGGCCTTGCCCTGATGGCGATGCCTACCATGCGGCCCTGCAACGGAGTCGGGCAGCCACAATCAATGACCCCTCCCTGCGTGAACGATCCAACACCTTGTGCGCCTGACAAAATGGGTCCCAGTTAGAGCCTCCCCCCCCCCCCCTCCCCCGCGCGCACGCGCGCACGCGCGTTTCCTGTCCACTTGCCATCCATGCTGACACATGCAATCCCTCTCCTCTCTCCCCGTCCCTCTCCCTCTCTTGCCCCTTATCTCTCCTCGGTTGCCCTCCCCCCCCCCCCCCCCCCC